CGTCCACCCGCCTGGCTCCGCCCTGCCACCTGGCGTGTCCTCGCCGTCCGCCTGCCTGGCTCCGCCCCTGCTGGCGGGCGTCCCCCGCCGTCCGCCCGCCTGGCTCCGCTCCTGCCAGCAGCCGTGCCCCACCGACCGCCCGCCTGACTCCGCCCCTGCCGGTGCCCCTGGCTCAGTGGCGGCTGGTGGAAGGAGGTCTTGTCCGCCGTTGCAAAACTAGTGAAGGGTCGGCCGGCGGCCTTGGCGAAATGCCAGTCACGAATTCTTTATGCATGAAAATGGAGCTGCGTTCGCGGAAGGCAATGACCTGGTTGATGCGGTAAGGCTAGAGTTGGTGCGTTCAAGGAGGCAGAGTTAGAGTTAGTGCCGGTGTTAGAGTGCGAGTGAGGATTATCACAACGAGGCTTATGTTTCATTTGGGCGAGTTCAAAGTAGATTTATTCTTAGCTTCCGCACTCGTCCTCTCTGACCGGCAAATGCCAACTCATCAAGCGGTCACTGATGCAGGAAATCGACTTTGTCAACATCAACAGCTGCATTAGTCTGCTATCTCATCATAGCAGCTGTAGGCGCGGCGATTATCGCACTTTGGGGATGTGGTGTGAGTGTATCGAGCCTACTCGACATGTAGACAAATTGGCACAAGGCTTGCGACAGTGCAAAGAAAGAAAAGGACCAGTGATTCCAAGCCCCCCCCCCCCCAAACAGGACCAGCCCCGCGCCACCGGCACCAGCATGACGGTATGGTAGACAAAAGTCGGTAAGGCGAGCCAGTAACACGGCGCGGTGGCAGAGTACTGCTAACTACTGCGACCTTGGCCGCGGCCGCAGCCGCAGCCGCAGCCACAGCCGTATGCGGAAAAGACCCAATTCATCGCCGACCCTGCAAGCCCGCCCGAGGGTTCACGTTCAAACTGTGCTAATTGGCCAGTCACTGGCCCTTGCCGCCTCAGGACGGTGCCGCTTCCGCCCCCCCCCCGTCCCCCCCCCAGCGGCTACAGACAAGCGTTGCGTTGCGCGCTGGGACTGCCGGTGCCGCGGGCTCCTCCACTAACCTGGAGCTCCATAAACCGGCCGCGGCGGCTCGCGCTAGCCAATCACCGTCCTGCTGGTGCTGCATGTGACGTCACAAGGCCTCCGCTGCCCGGAGGGTGAATGCTGGTGTCACAGGGGTCGGCGTACAGGTATAAGAGGGCGGGACAGGCCACTGAACACAAACGCCTGCATCTCGTGGGAGAATACGCCTTGCGCAGCTCAGGTGAGGCAGGACCATCCGGAGAGTCTTTTCCGAGTTCTATCAGTTCTATCCGAGACGTCCTATTCAATGAAACTACGGAGACATCCGTGCTGATCGCCGGGACACGGCATGGTGTCCTGATGACGTCATAGAATTGATGAAAGCCGGTGTAATTTGTGATGAGTCTTTTACATCCCTGGGATTTCCAGCAACGGAAGAAGTTAGGGAGGCAGACAGACGCCCTTTAACACCCCATCCCAAACCCATTTCACCCTTGGTTCCACTTCCAACCGCCTGCTAAGATGATCCGTAGCTTCTTAATCCCTTAAAAGTCCGCTGGCGCTCTTGTGACCCCCTGGGGCTCTCTCTACGCTTATCCGCCTGGCATTCTGTTCCTCTCCGAACCAAAATGAGCTACACTCCGCTGAGCTCATCATAACCTCGCAACATACCTACGTGGTCTCGCACCAGCAAACTAAGCTTCGCACTGCTGTCACTTTCATGGCACGGTCAACACCGGGTCAACACCCGTTCCAATCCGTATTCGAGGAGCGAATACAACCGACAGTCCTTATCCCCTTGTCTCCCGCGTGGTGTCGCGTCCACTCCAGCCGAGACGAAACGCGGTCTGTTGACAGTCTGCTACAACATATCGCACCCCACTCCTTTCTGCAGCCGAGATGAACCGTACGCTGCTGGCTCTGGTGGCGGCCGTGGCCGCAGCTCAGCTGACCGAGGCCCTGGTCCTCCTGGGCGCGGGCACCGCCGGCGCGCTCACCCTCGGCGCCGGCACAGCCGCCTCGGTAGCGGGGCCGCTGGCGGTGGCCGGTCTGGCGGCCGTCGCCATCGGCGGTGCCGGGCTGCTGGCGGGCGCCGCCGCCAGGCGCCGCCGCGGGGGGTTCGGCGGCAGACGCCGCGGCGGACGCCGCGGCGGACGCCGGGGGCGTGACGTCGCCGAGCAGCAGGACCAGGTACGGAGAGGGACGGGGGGGGGGGGGAGGGAGAAGGGGACGGAGAGGGGGAGGGGCTCGAGGAGCAACGCCTCAGCGCAGAACAGCCGCGGAGTTTGGCTCTGGGCATAAGTGTCGCGCTCAAGACGGTGTGTGTAAGTGACGGGATGTCTGGCGAGTCCCAGTGCGCGTCCGTGTTTATTTTTAAGAGGCGTTTTGTGGCAGTGGCAACCGCCTGCTGTAGAGCAAATCGACAGCGTCTGTATTAGGATACACCGTGTCCAAAAGCGTGCACTAAGTGTTGAAATGACAGCGGCTCACTAAGCAACGCTTGGCACCAAGTAACAAGCAGTGATCGGCTGGTGGTGTGTTCTTCAACCATGTAGGCAAATCTCGCAACAGGTTGGCTACCTGTTTGCAACCTCATCAGACGGCACGTCACACGTGACTTTGTGCTCCTGTGCTCACACCTGCGCCCGTCGCCGGTGTGACTTTGTGCTCCTGTGCTCACACCTGCGCCCGTCGCCGGCGTGACTGTGTTCCTGTGCTCACACCTGCACCCGTCACCGCCCCGTTCGCCTCCGCCTCCGCAGGTGCTCATTGACCGTGAGAGCGGTATCTGGGACGCGGTCAGCGCCACGGACGAGCAGAGCTGCGTGCTCAAGTTCGTCTGCCTGGTGGAGGCCGAGCAGGACGCTTCGCTCCTCACCCGGGAGGAACAGCTCATCGTCGATATCTTTGGGTGAGCGCGCAGCGACGGAGAGGTCTGCGGTTCGACTCCCGCCGCACGGAACTTTCAATAGCTTTGGTTTGCGCGGGCTGGCAGTGCTTTGAAAGTACGTTAAAAGGAAATAGGAGCACCATGTTAGTAAACGGAAGATCATCCAAAAGCGGTACTTCGCCAGTGTTGCAATGATCAGTAGTGCAGCCATGTTGACCCCGTCACGTACAAAATATGTCCGACACCGTATCTCGTTTGTTCCAGCACCGACCCCGCGGAGCTGGATTTCGACACGATGAAGGAGAGCCGGGCGCCCTTCGAGTACGCCGCCTTCATGGGCAACAAGTTCGGCAACGACTCCTGCGGCAAGCTCTTCCACTCGTGTCCTCTCTCGCGGCCTCAGATGTCATCCTTCCTGGAGAACCTCAAGCTGCTCTGATGTGTGCATATCGTGAGAAACTATTGATGCTGTTCTGTTCATGCTACGTGCAAATTATCCGTTCAAATAATGTCTCAATAAAGAGGGAAAGGTGACCGGTTCTGTGTAGCAAAGAGGGAAAGGTGATCGGCTCTGTGTAGCAAAGAGGGAAAGGTGATCGGCTCTGTGTAGCAAAGAGGGAAAGGTGACCGGCTCTGTGTAGCAAAGGGGGAAAGGTGACCGGCTCTGTGTAGCATGCATGTGAGCAGGGGTGGTTGTTGCCGACTTGGTGCATAAGGTCGACGGCAAAAATGTCTATTTTCACATAACGTTTGGCACCAAAAGATGCCTTCGACCAAAAACAACATGAAACACAGGTCACGGCAACGAAAAATGATTACAGCGCGCATTCAATAATCTTACATAGGGCTTTAATGGTAATGCATTTCATCTCACAACACCAGTAAGCCTTTCCGTAAAGACCCTTTCCCGTACCCCACGGCATCATGGTTTGTTTCCTAGGCTCCATCCCAACTCGGCGACAAAAATATCCTAAGACTTGCGGTGTTGCAAGTCTTAAAGTCAAACTGTCAAACTAAAGTCAAGTCAAACTGCACGCATCTGTTGATGCGTGCAGTTTGAGAAGAAACGGCCCGTGGTGGATGTGAACGTGATGAGGCCGAAGGGCAAAATCCTAAAAGGATTTTGGTGAAATACAAATTTTATTTTCACAATCTTCCTTCTCATTGGTGGTTGAAAACTTCTCGCAGTTTCAGATCTACTTTGGTGCATGAGTTACGCGACATCTCTGAAACCCCAGCAGAACGCGAACCCCTCAGTTTTCCGCCGCAAGCTCTGCGCGAAAACTCCCAACCCGATGGCAGAGGCGAGGTGCGAGCGGCGAGATACTCCGCCCCCTGGTAGAATAAGACAGACCATCGCGTCCCCCCCCCCTCTCTCTAAACGAAATTCTCTCTGATCAAAAGGCCTGTGTGCAAATGCCTTCAGCCTTGCACAGCGCTTTGTTTACGAGATGGCGCCATTTGCTGTTAAAAACCGCATGGAACTGCGCTGAGTGATCGCATAGAATACCATATATATATATATATATATATATATATATATATATATATATATATATATATATATATATATATATGTAATTATGTAATAATAATGCCATCTATAAAGTGTGCGGACGAGATCCTACCGCTCGAGGTGAGACGTGCTCGCTGTTCAAGTCAGACTCGCTGTGCCCGCGGCCTTCCCGGTATTCGCGAACCTTTTGACAACTCTGACGAATGTGCTTCCTGCTTGCCGTCTCCGCAGCAAGTAAGCTCAGATCTATTTATCTAACCACCACCGCGAGTCAATACGGGCTCGCCTCCTTAAAACCCCGCGAATGTGCCTTGTCCACGACAGTCGACTGCTGACTGGTCAAGAGGATCAGACTAGCTAGGCAGGTCTGTGTCGTGACATTCCACGCATGTAAAAGGGCGCCGGACAAAAGTGTGCGTTCAGTGAGAGTTTGGAGGCAAGGTGGTGGGGTTCAGAGCTTTTGTAACGACCAAGGTTGGTAAGGACTCCGGCCCCCTTGGCCATCCCCGTAAAATGCTCCATCAAATTTGCCTTTTAAATATGACGGAGTTCAGTCCGGGTAACGACAAGCCATGCTCTTCAAAACACATATCTGTATTTCCTCCGACGCAATAACAAACCAACCCTCGCTGATTTCATCACCCACACATCAGAAACACAGCACGACCGTCGCGCTGCAGTATCAGAACTGGGAACTCCAGCTTCCCATCACTGCCTACAGGTGGCAGTTTGCTAGCTGAAGCCCGGCGCGTGCAGCTCCGGGGAGCCGAACAGCAGCTTGCGCTGCGGCGGCGCGGACACCTGCCGAAACAGCACGTTATAAGAGTAATGCCAGCAGCGAGTGTAGAGCACCACTAATAGAAGAGATTGCGGGATACAGCAGATTCAGCACAAACCTACTGCCGCGTAAGGGACGGGAACATCGCTGCCAACGCAGCGCAAGAAGACAACTATCTTCCGGACTAACGTAATCCGGCACATAATCCAGCCAATCCGTACACAAGACAAGCGCATCTCTGACCTAACGATGCTGCAGGCCATATGACCTTGGTAAGCATCTTCCCAGGCTTATCGAGATCGCAGCTGACGTCCACATACATACATACATACATACATACATACATACATACACACATATATATATATATATATATATATATATATATATATATATATATAGACAGATAGATAGATAGATAGATAGATAGATAGACAGATAGATAGATAGATAGATAGACAGATAGATAGATAGGCGAGCTATATACTACAGTTCACTTATCTATGCATCTATATATCTACCTATCCATAACGTTACACCACACGTCCTGACCTCAGCCTGCTTGACCTGATTTCACACCACTTCACCAGGCCTTCTCCGCCTGCCTGACCTCCGAGCCCCCGGTCTGCTGCTGGTCTGAATAACCCGGCCTCTGAGTCCGACCCAGCGCCGACCACCCACCTTGGTGGTCTTCTGGAGCAGCTTGAAGAGGCCGGTACCCAGCGAGGTGGGCATGCCCATGATGATGCACTCAGACACGCCCGTGATGACGTCCTTCTGGCCGTAGTAGGCCGCGTCGAACAGGTGGTCAGACGTCTTCTCAAACTGCCGACACCGACGGAAGGGGGGGGGGGGCACCAGTCATCAATAGACGCATTTTCATGCATTGCATTTTCTCGAAGGGGAACATGTCCATGCACTTCCTCGAAGGGGAGGGGAGGGGCAGGCGGAGGTCACAGCCGGTCCGGCGACCTCACCTTCGTGGGGAATCCTCACTGAGGGTATCGGAGAGGTCTGAGAGCTCTGCACATGGGAGGAGCCGGCGAGACTCACGCGCGCACGACTCGGAGGCTCGTGAGGTCCACATACAAGGCGGCGCGCCGGGCGTCTGTTGTGGAAGATCACCGGCGCCTTTCATCCGTCTTTCGACACCAGTGGGGCGAGCGACGCGTCTCAGAGAGGCTTCCTTTATTCCCGCCAAAACACAGATTGCCTCTGATAATCCCCCCCCCCCTCCCCGCCCCCGCCCGCCGAGAGGGGTATACCGCACCTCAGATAGCCTTTTTGCCTCTGGGCGGCAGGGTAAGTGCTGTCTTAACTAATCGCTCTTCGGCTTTCTTGCCTTTAGACGGTGAAATGCCATCTCCCATCCCCTGCATAAAATCAGCACCTCCAGCACCACCTTTCCCAGTCTGCTACACCCCAACTCCAGCGATACCTTCATCCAAGCATTTACACAGACATTCACCACCCAATTAGCCTTCAGCGCCGAGGCCGCTGCCCCCGGTCACTCACCGACCGGCCAGCATGAGCACGCTCTCCTTCATCCTTGGCGAGGCCGTAAGCGGGTGATGCCAACACCTCCCCGCGGGAGCACATCAGATCGGCCCAGCAGCATCACGTGCCGCCGGTCGATGGACATGCCGTGCGACCTCCATCGGGTACTGATGATCTCCGTGGATGATGGTCGAACCTGGCCGCACGGCGTCAGGCCGTGCGTCGGCGGGCCCGGGCTGCCAGGCGGGGCGCGCGGGCCGCCCTCGTCTCCCGAATGGTGCGGTCCGGCGCCGGTGGGGGGTAGCGCCACCCATGCCGGCAAGCGAGGCGCGGCCTCGCTCCCGACCGTGCGGCGCCGGTGGGGGTAGCTCCCCCGCCGGCGAGGCCCCTCGCTCCCGACGGTGCGGTCCGGGTGTCGGTGGGGTAAGCTCCCCATGCGGGAGCGAGCTCGGCCCTCGCCTCGACATGGGTGTGGTCCAGGCGCCGGTGGGTAAGCTACACACCCATGGCCGGGAGCGAGGCGCGGCCCTCGCCCTCGACATGGGTGTGGTCCAGGCGCCCGGTGGGGTAAGCTCCACCCATGCCGGGAGCGAGGTGCGGGCCCTCGCCCTCGGCCTTGGGTGGGGTCCAGGCGCGGTGGGGTAAGCTCCACCCATGCCGGGAGCGAGGCGCGGCCCTCGCTCCCGACATGAGTGGGGTCCGGGCCGTGGGGTAAGCTCCACCCATGCCGGGAGCGAGGCGCGCCTCGCCCTCGGCATGGGTTGGGGTCCGGGTCGGTGGGGGGTAAGCTCCACCCATGCCGGGAGCGAGGCGGGCCCTCGCCCTCGACATGGGGTGTGGCCAGGCGCCGGTGTGTAAGCTCCCCATGCCGGGAGCGAGGCTCGGGCCCTCGCTCCGACATGGGTGGGGTCCCGGGTGTCGGTGGGGGTAAGCTCCACCCATGCCGGGAGCGAGGCGCGGCCCTCGCTCCCGACATGGGTGGGGTCCGGGTGTCGGTGGGGGTAAGCTCCACCCATGCCGGGAGCGAGGCGCGGGCCCTCGCTCCCGACATGGGTGGGGTCCGGGTGTCGGTGGGGGGTAAGCTCCACCCATGTCGGGAGCGAGGCGCGGCCCTCGCTCCCGACATGGGTGGGGTCCGGGTGTCGGTGGGGGGTAAGCTTCCACCCATGCCGGGAGCGAGGCGCGGCCCTCGCTCCCGACATGGGTGCGGTCCGGGCGCCGGTGGGGGGTAAGCTCCACCCATGCCGGGAGCGAGGCGCGGCCCTCGCTCCCGACCATGGGTGCGGTCCGGGCGCCGGTGGGGGGTAAGCTCCACCCATGTCGGGAGCGAGGCGCGGCCCTCGCTCCCGACATGGGTGGGGTCCGGGTGTCGGTGGGGGGTAAGCTCCACCATGTCGGGAGCGAGGCGCGGCCCTCGCTCCCGACATGGGTGGGGTCCGGGTGTCGGTGGGGGTAAGCTCCACCCATGTCGGGCGAGGCGCGGCCCTCCTCCCGACCATGGGTGGGGTCCGGGTGTCGGTGGGGGGTAAGCTCCACCCATGCCGGGAGCGGGCGCGGCCCTCGCTCCCGACATGGGTGGGGTCCGGGTGTCGGTGGGGGTAAGCTCCACCCATGCCGGGCGCGAGGCGCGGCCCTCGCTCCCGACATGGGTGTGATCCGGGCGCCGGTGGGGTAAGCTCCACCCATGCCGGGAGCGAGGCGCGGCCCTCGCTCCCGACATGGGTGGGGTCCGGGTGTCGGTGGGGGGTAACTCACCCATGTCGGGAGCGAGGCGCGGCCCTCGCTCCCGACTGGTGGGCGGTCAGGCGGTCGATCACGCTAACGCCAAGCTAGAGGGAGCGCGCTTAACGCGCGGTGGACTGTGTGCGAATGGTCGCTGCACTGTCGCCATGGATGTAATGTAACTGTGGGATGTAAATGCTACTGTGCGTTCGCAACATGTGGATGTGAATACGCCATGTTGCCGTGCTGTGCGCGTCAGGCCGATAATGGGCGATGGGACCTGTCGGTGCAGCAGACAACACCACGCGCTGCGGCGTAGACGATGTACGCAATTCAGCGTCAGCTGACCAGCACCGTGCCTGACAAATGGCGGGAGAAACCACACAGCGTGTGTGTGGCCATCTAGTGGCTTGCTCAAGATCGTTGTCAGGGGATGGTTGGTTGGTTGGTTGAGTACTTGGGCTTTAGGGCGCATCGGTTGTCAAGGCATGCGTTCGTAAACTTGCACGTGCACTCGTTGCTCTAGGCAAGCTATCACAATGGAGGTTCGCACAACTCATCGCATCGGCGAGTTCAAGACATCTGTCCACCAGTTTTCTTAACGCGAGCACCGTGCGAACTCATTGCGTCTGTAAAACCACACAATTGTGGCATGGGCTCAACCCAACACGAGCCTGCACATCTCCCCAACTGTCCTCCGCCGGCCGTCCTCGTCTGTCCTCAGCCGTCCTCACCTATCCCTAACTATCCTCTGCTGGCTGTCCTTGTCTATCCCCAACTGTCCTCACATATCCCAATTGGCCTCTGTTGGCTGGCATCCACTATCCCCAACTGCCCTCCGCGGGCGTCCCCCCCCCCCTGCCCCCGGCCGCCGGTGGTGTCCCCATCCGTCCTCTCCAGCCCTCGGGCGGCGTCCTCACCTGGCGGCCTCGATGCCGAGCGTGCTGTACACCTCGTGGGTGTTGTTGGAGGTGCTGGCCGTGCCCCGCACGCCGTACGTCGCCATCACCTCGCGCAGGTTGTTGCCCTCCACGAACAGCTTGTAGCGCGGCGAGCCCTTCGAGTCGTCGATGGCGATCACGGCGCGCGCTACCGACGGCAGTCCCTGGCGCGCGCGCGCGCAGAGTCACAGAGTTAGCACACAGAGCGCACAGTCACAGCGTCAGCACACAGGAAGAGCCCCACAGAGGGACTACGGAGGGCAGGAAGAGCCCCACCGAGGACCACAGAGGGCAGGGAGAGCCCCACCCAGAGGCTGCAAAGGGCAGAGAGAGAGAGCCCCATCGAGGGACCATATGACAGAGGTCCCCCCCCCCCGCCCCGCCGAGCGATGCCATGGTCAACAACGCACGGGACCGCCAGTGTCACAGCGTCCAAAACTGCCACCACGAGGAAAACGGCAGGCGTTCTCACAGCCCGCCGCAGCGAACGCGCGTTTTTCCCACCACGCGCGCGTCCAGCTCCACCAGAACCCGCGCACCTGGGCCGCGCGCCACAAACGCCGCCGCGACCGGCGCTCGATCCCGCCGCGGACCGCGGCTCACCTTGATGACGACGAACGGCAGGTGCTCCTTCAGGCTCTGGATCTGGTAGTAGAGGGAGGAGCTCTTGCCGGCGCCGGCGCGCACCGTCAGGATGGTGTCGCTCTCCACCGTCACCGAGGCCGGCTTGGTCGGCAGCCGTGCCGTGCAGATGCTGCAGCGGCAGCAGCAGCGTCAGTCGCCCTCCTCCACGCTCCCCTCCTCCTCACTCCTTAACACCACTTCCGGCACGCCTGGAGCTCCAGCAGCGACAGCCGCCCTCCTCCACACTCCCCTCCTCCTCACTCCATAACACCGCGTTCCGGCACGCCTGGAGCTCCAGCAGCGACAGCCGCCCTCCTCCACACTCCCCTCCTCCTCACTCCTCAACACCGCCCTCCGGCACGCCTGGAGCCTCAGCAGCGTCTGCCGCCCTCCTCCACACTCCCCTCCTCCTCACTCCTTAACACCGCCTTCCGGCACGCCTGGAGCTCCAGCAGCATCAGCCGCCCTCCTCCACACTCCCCTCCTCCTCACTCCTTAACACCGCCCTCCTGCACGCCTGGAGCTCCAGCAGCATCAGCCGCCCTCCTCCACACTCCCCTCCTCCTCACTCCTTAACACCGCCTTCCGGCACGCCTGGAGCTCCAGCAGCGTCAGCCGCCCTCCTCCACACTCCCCTCCTACTCACTCCTTAACACCGCCCTCCGGCACGCCTGGAGCTCCAGCAGCGTCAGCCGCCCTCCTCCACACTCCCCTCCTCCTCACTCCTTAACACCGCCCTCCGGCACGCCTGGAGCTCCAGCAGCATCAGCCGCCCTCCTCCACACTCCCCCACCCCTCCTCACGCCTTAACACCGCCCTCCGGCACGCCTGGAGCTCCAGCAGCGTCCGCCGCCCGGCACGGCGCCCACCAGCGGACCGACAGCCATCACCCGCGCGTGGACACCCCCCTCCGGCGCGCCTCGGCCTCAAGGCGTGGCAGCCGCCCGCCCGGGCAGCGCCCGGTACTTTTCGTACTGCTGCACTGTACCGCGGACGTGCCGAAGACCCGCCACCCGCTGCCAGGACCCGAAGACCACAATGGTCTCTTCATTCGGGTACAAAATCACCCGAAATACCGTACGCGTGAGGAAAATGCATCTCGGACCCCGAGCCCGATTGGATACGCCAAATATACCAACCAATTTGCCCTAGGTCCCAAAGATTAATGCGGCGGTGCATTAAGTACCATAGTCATAACATAAGAGACCTGAGCTAAAAAAATGACAGGCCAGAGCTTGGTGGCCATGGCTACCTGTAGTCAATGGACTCCGCTTTCTTGATCCCTGTGGCAGATGGAATCTAGGAATCTATGCCTATGACAACACGTGACAGATAGATAATGCATCAGCCCTTGGCGGATGGAGCTAATATTCATGTTTACCTGCGGCGGATGCACTCCGTATCCGTGGTTACATGTCGCGAATTTACTTCCTCTCCATGGTTTCCTGTGATGGACATACTCTATCCACTAGTACTTTATCTATGTAATCTATATCTATGGTTACCTCTGGCGTATGTACTATGAAGCCATGGTTACTGAAAACCAACGTAATTCATCTTCATGGATGCCTACAGTTTTATGGAGGCTTAGGAGATCCAGGAGATCTTGTATTCATGGTTACATGCCGCAGACAGACCCGGTTTCCATGGTAACCTCCTGTGGCGGGTAGACTCCATATCCGTGGTAATCAGCATCAGACAAGCCAGGTCTCCGTGTTTACTGCGGTGGACGGCCTTGCGGTGGCCATGGTTACCTGTAGCGGATGGAGTCGGCATCCACCTCCAGTTTCAGCAGCCTGATCCGCTCCATATCCAGCTTGATGAGCAGGAACGTGTCGTCCGGCAGGTACACCTCCTCCAGGTACTCCGACACCTGTCACACGAGTACTCGAGTTCGGGCATCACACCCTTGTCACACCGGGTATGACGTATGCCACGTATGGAAGCATGGGAAGGTAATATGTAAGACACAAAGCAAAGGAAAATCGATAAATGCACACACGAAAGAGCGCTTGAAGTATAAATAATAACATCGCGAATGAGATAATATTTACGCTGAGCAAAGCAATGCCTATTAGTAACTTACCTTTACAGCACTAACAATGGCACATTTTATCGAACGATTACCTACACACAACAGTGCCCTGAAACATCAGAGTCATCCTTACCACAAAGGTTTGAGCGCAACATGAGCTTAAAGGGCGCCGCAGCTGCGCCGGCAGCGCCGCAGCGCCGCCAGCCGCGCCGTACCTGTCCCAGCAGGGTCTTCTCGATGCGTCCTTTCACGCGGCGCGCGAACTCGGGGTCGGTGTCGTTGACCAGCTGCGCCGTCACGATCGGGGTGCTGATGTTGCGGGAGGCGTTGATGATCTCCTTGATCCTGCGACATGAGACCAACGGTGATAATGATGATGATGAGCTCGATGTGACGAATTTGAGGTGATGAATTTGGTTTGATGAGTTCGAGTTAATGAGTTCCATTTGGTGAGTTCAAGTTGATGAGTTTGAGTTGATGAGTTTGAATTGATGAGTTCGAGTTGATGAGTTCCATTTGGTGAGTTCACGTTGATGAGTTTGAGCTGATGAATTCGAGTTGCTGATGGGGAGAGTTGATAGAGATGATGAGGCGCTGAGATTAAGATCGCACCGAACTCGCTGATTCTTTTGCGCCCACTACAGTTAGGGGTGTGACGTTTTTTAACTAAAAGGGAGAGAAAACTGCTGTAAACTTAACTTCTACAAGAAATGAAAACACGGCGATCCAGTGATCAATATGACTGGCAAGGGTAGAGGTTTGGAAGGGGGGTAACCGCCTTCCACTGCCAAATCTGGAAAAAATAACGCTAACCATATGACGTTGGACGGACAGAAACGGCCTATGCAGAAAACACACACACACGTTTAACACAGAACTTTCAATCTCTCCGCGCTGCGCCAGTTCTGCTGTCAGAGTCAGACACAACTGCACTGATCGATCATGAGAAGCCTCCCAGCTGAACCAATCACGTTTTGATCGAACCGAACCAATTTAGACCTTTCCCTAGGGCTATGAAACATCCAGCGAATGTATGGATTAGGCACCTGCATCCGACAACCAGTCATGTTTACTCACTGAAAATTTAGCCTCCGAACGCTCTAATCTTTTTCTCGATACACGGCATGGATCTGCAGTTTTTATCGTGCGCTTTTTTACAAAGTGTATTGCATAATATATGACACACCCATACATATAACATTTACAAAACATCTAACATATATCAACATTCATCCACGCACTTCACCCTCCTGAACGTGCCCACGTGCATTACACTGGAGCTACGAGACTCTTCACACTAAGACTTCAATTCGAGCCGCAGCAATTCACGCCGAGCTTGCCCACCACGAGGAGCCAGACTTGTAGACAAGTCACCACGGTCACGCGAGTCACTCCGACCAAAGACCTCCGCCACAGGTGGTCGGGCTGTCAGCCGGCGCGTGAGGCGGAAGTAAGCAGGGAGGAGACAATAACGGCGGTGCCGGCTCTGCAGACGTCGTCGGCGCTCGGAGCTCGGAGCGCGCGCGCCCGCGCTGTTTGTCGTCGAGCTATTCACACTGCTGCAGACGTATCCCTTAAAACGCTGCTTGCGACGTGGTGGAAGCCTTGCACGGCCACAATCCAGCCGCGTCCTCGTCCTGGTGTGGCCTGGCGTCCGACCTGACCTGACCTGACCTGACCCGGGAGACCTGACTCGCGGAGCTGGTCAGGTGACCGAAGCACATCCGTCAGGTGGTCAGTCACCGTCGACGGGCAGCTGGAGAGAGCAGAACCAGGAGCGGCACCAATTACAGAGCCTCGAGAACGGCGAAACATCAGGAACAAGTCGCCAGGCGGAGCTCATCAGGCGCAGCTGGTCACCAAGCAGCACGGCACCGTCACCTGCCGTTCTCTATCACCGCCGAGAGGCCCGCCACAGCCGAGCCCTGCAATCGTCGGCGTCGGCCCCTCTCAAGCCCCGGCGGTCTGCCAGCCGGTCTGACCCACTGACCCCGTGCGTGGCCCGCTGACCTGACCCGCTAAACTGATCTCGCGTCCGATCCGCTGACCTAACCCCGCGCGTCTAACCCGCTGACCCCACTAGCTGACCTGACCCGGCGTCTGGCCCGCGACCCAACCGGCTGACCGGCTGACCTGCCCCCGTGTCTGACCCGCTGACCTCACTAGCTGACCAGCCCCCGTGTCTGACCCGCTGACCTCACCAGCTGACCTGCCCCCGTGTCTGACCCGCTGACCTCACTAGCTGACCAGCCCCGTGTCTGACCCGCTGACCTCACCAGCTGACCTGACCCCGTGTCTGACCCGCTGACCTCACCAGCTGACCTGACCCGGCGTCTGACCCGCTGACCTCACTAGCTGACCTGACCCGGCGCAGCGGCGCTGCCGGAGTCAGCCTTCCGGCGGCGGTATGGCCGGCCCGGACCGCTGGCGGACAGCACTGACCGCGGCCGCCCTGCTGATCGGAGCGTGGACCCTCATCACCAGGTGAGCGGGGGGTGACGTGGCGCCGCTCATCACCAGGTGAGCGGGGGGTGACGTGGCGCCGCTCATCACCAGGTGACGTGGCGCCGCTCATCACCAGGTGACGTGGCGCCGCTCATCACCAGGTGACGTGGCGCCGCTCATCACCAGGTGACGTGGCGCCGCTCATCACCAGGTGAGCGGGAGGTGACGTGGCGCGCTCATCACCAGGTGAGCGGGGGTGACGTGGCGCCGCTGCTCATCACAGGTTGCGGGAGGTGACGTGGCGCCGCTCATCACCAGGTGAGCGGAGGTGACGTGGCGCCGCTCATCACCAGGTGACGTGGCGCCGCTCATCACCAGGTGAGTGGGAGGTGACGTGGCGCCGCTCATCACAAGGTGAGCGGGGGTGACGTGGCGCCGCTCATCACCAGGTGAGCGGGGGGTGACGTGGCGCCGCTCATCACCAGGTGACGTGGCGCCGCTCGCGGGCACCGCGCGCGCCACCCGACGCCGCGCGTTGCCGTGCGGGGACCTTCGTTAATACGTGTGGGCGGTGGGGAACGTGGCTACGTTCTGGCACCGCAGAATCTGGCCTCAAGGCATATATTTCCCACGCCTGACTTCAATGGCGTGGAACTAATGAATGGTTGGCAATCAGCAATCAACCAAGAAATACTGCCGTGTCGATGATGTGAAAAAGTTGATCTATGTGCGCGCTTCACTACCGCCTGGTGTATACAAAAAGTCCTGTCGACCAGCTACACCCGACGGAGCTTTATCAAAGTAGGAACCTCGTCGACGTTTTCGGTGTATCGACTTGTGGACTGTGAAATATTGGCGGAGAAGGCGGCCATACAACACCCAAGGCATCTGACCTACCTGCACAAACGTGGTTTGGAACACGAAAAGGCGTTAACTTCAGTGCTTTTTGTTACCAATGGCAAAGTTAATAATTGCATTGTTCTGCCTTAACCGAACCATGCAAGGCGAATGTAAGCGGCATAGAGGAATAAATCTATTACTGATGCGTTCCTTAAAGCGATTATGCCGCGTAAAACACCGTAACAGCTAAACAGCCAACCAGCAAACGAAAAAAACACCCAAATCGGTCGCCCAGCCCATTTCTCCACGCGTGAGCAGGCGACAGACGCCCACCGACAGCAGGCGACAGACGCCCACCGCCTGCCGCCGAGACCGGCCGCCAGGCGGCGCGAGGCTCTGCGCACCACGACGGACAAAGCCAGGCGGGCGGACCGACACCCCGGCGGCGCAGTTCGGGGGGGGGAGGGGGACGGGGAGGGGCGAGGCCCCATTCACGGCCGTCGGTGGGACGGGACGGCCAGCAGCTGGCCGCCCGTCCGCCGTCGGCGCCCATGAGACAGGCGCGGTCGCTCGGCCGCCGCTCGGCACGGCTTACGGCGCCCACGCAGTGCCGGGTCAGGACGCGTTTTGATGGGAGAACGCGGGTGCTTTCGGTATCCCGTGACACAAACATTTTTTTTTACATATTAGTTACCAACAGTTCTTACTATTGAAACTATTGCCCTTTTAATCATTACTGTAGTTCCGCTAGGGTTCTTAATGTTAGAAGACAGCCTGGCTTCCAAATTTGTTATTTCTAATCGGCTGTCTAACAGTACGCATGGCTTGGCTCAAACGTTATCTGCACGATGTCTTGTTGCAAGACTCAAGCCGCTGTGTTTAACAACGGATATGCGTTGTTCTCAACTTAAGCGGCTTTTATAGCAAAATGTACAAGATTGCACCTCGCCGTGCACCGTAGGACGGCCGTAAGTCCATTGTCATATTTTACGCAGCACGAATTCGCAAGACGGAAGACTATGACGCGTCCCCTTTCACCCAGACGGGATCCTTGGCGGTGCTTATGCCCCGATCAATGACGTAATGGTTCAAAACCTGCGCATTTCAACACATCAGAGATGGGCCGGATTGGGAGACGTGTGCTCATGAATACAAAAATGTGGCTCTCAACATAACCGCGCGCTGACGAACACGCGCCGTTTTTTTTATTCTCAACAACTGGCTTTCGTGAATCTGAACCAGCTACTCCGCGATTCCAAACGTCTGCTTCCGACTCCCCCCCCTCCACACACACAAACATTCCAAAACGTGTCACTTCTTCACTACGGGAGGCTGATCACGTCAATCCCACGTCACACCCACCGCCCTCCGGTCACCTACCGCCAGCCGGTCACTTACGCCTCCCCCCCCCCTCACCCCCCCCCCCCCTGCATGCCGGCTCCTCCCGCTGCGGAGCTAACCACCCCACCCTCCACAGCGGGGTACTCCCGTCCAGCGTGTGCCCTCCGCCGCCGCCGCCGCCGCCGTCGGATCCGCACCTCCTGCCGCCGGAGCCGGCCGACGACGCCGCGCTGGCCGCCGCCCTCTTCGCCTACATCGAGCGGCCGCAGCGCTGGTGCCGCCAGCTGGCCATGCTCGGCGGCCAGTCGGCCACGCACGGCGTCGTCGACGGCAACAAGTTCGTCTGCCTCGACGCGTCCGTCTCCTCGCTCTGGCCGCCGCCGCCGCGGCAGGAGCCGCCGCCGCCGCCGCCGTCGCCTCCCCGCTGTCTCGTGTACTCCATCGGCGGCCGAGACGAGTGGAGCTTTGAGCGCGACGCCGTGCGGCTCGGCTGCGAGGTGCACACGTTCGACCCCAGCCTGGACGCCGACGGCGCGCGCCGCACGTTCGGCGCCCACTTCCACGCGACGGGCCTGGCCGGCGCCAGCGGCACCAACGCGCGCGGCTGGCGCCTGCTGACGCTCAGCGATATGCGGCGCCAGCTGGCGCACGAGGCGCGCCGCCTCGACTACCTGAAGGTGGACGTGGAGGGCGCCGAGTGGGCGTGGCTGGAGGGCGACGCCACCGCGCTGCGGCACGTGGCCCAGCTCGGCATGGAGGTGCACCTGCCGGCGCTGACGCCGGCGGCGCTGCGCCGCGTCTACGGCCTGTTTCGCGGCCTGCAGCACCAGGGCTTCCGCACCGTGTTCTCCGAGCCCAACCGGGTCTGGGGCCGCCCGCACCGCGTGGCCGGCGTGGCCGCGCCCGTGGGCACCATGTACGAGATAGTCTGGGTGCGGCCCGACGACGTGTGACCTGTCGGAGCCTGTCGGAGTCTGTTCGGAGTCTGTCTGAGTCTGTCGAAGTCTGTCGGAGTCTGTCTGAGCCTATCAGAGCCTGTCAGAGTCTGCCGGAGTCTGTCGGAGCCTATCAAAGCCTGTCAGTCTGCCGGAGTCTGTCAGAGCCTGTCAGTCTATCGGAGTCTACCGCAGTCTGCCTGAGTCTGTCTGAGTATGTCTGAGTCTGTCTGAGTCTGTCGAAGTCAGTCGAAGTCTGTCGGAGTCTGTCGGAGCCTATCAAAGCCTGTCAGAGTCTGCCGGAGTCTGTCAGAGCCTGTCAGTCTATCGGAGTCTACCGCAGTCTGCCTGAATCTGTCTGAGTCTGTCGAAGTCTGTCGGAAGTCTGTCTGAATCTGTCGAAGTCTGTCGGAGTCTGTCTGAGCCTATCAGAGTCTGTCGGAGTCTGTCTGAGCCTATCAGACCTTGTCAGAGTCTGCCGGAGTCTGTCGGAGCCTATCAAAGCCTGTCAGAGTCTGCCGGAGTCTGCCGGAGTCTATCGAAGTCTGTAGGAGTCTGTCGGAGCCTATCAGAGCCTGTCAGAGTCTGTCAGAGTCTGTCAGAGTCTATCGGAGTCTGCCGGAGTCTGTCTGAGTCTGCTGAAGTCTGTCGGGAGTCTGCGGCGTCGCAGGCCGGTGGTGCGCGCTCAATCCCAAGACTTGAGTTTGCTGTGTTGTTTTCGGTGAAGCAGACTAACGCAATTCCAGGAGTTTTGATTGTCTTAGTACGCGCGTTTCTCTTAACCGCGACTCACACTTAACGGTGGACTGTTTATGTTAAAAGGTGGGAGAATGCTCTCTGTGGGAAGTGAACATCAAATGCCCGGCTGTATGAATGTGTGGCGTTTGTGCGCATTGTTCTGCCCCTGAGTGCTTTATCATTCGGACATCTGTCAGTTCTGTTAGTGTTTGAATAGAACAACACATGACAGCTGTGATCGAGTTTTGCTCACGCCGGAGGTGCGCCAAAACCATACACAGTTGGCCTGGTGACACAGAAGAAACATAACAACACCGAAGAAAGGGAGTCGTAAAAACAGCAACAAAAACTCCCCAAGAACGAAAGACAGGGAGGAGAGAGGGAGAGGGAAACAGGGAGAGTGAAAGTGAGAGAGAGGGAGAGAGGGAGAGAGTGAAAGTGAGAGAGAGGGAGAGAGGGGGAAAGAGAAAGAGAGACAGAGAGAGAGAGAGGAGAGAGGAGCGACGTGGACGTAGACGTAGACGTAGACGTAGACGTAGACAGAGACGGAGACGGAGACGGAGACAGAAACCAACACAGAGACAGAAACTAATACAGAGATGGAGAAAGAAACAGAGACTAACACGGAGACAGAAACTGACACAGAGACAAGGGCTAACACAGAGACAGAGGCTAACACAGAGACAGAGACAGCGCCAGAGCATCAGTGACTGACCTGGGCACTCCCAGCGTGATGTTCATGGACGCGACGCCGGCGAAGTGGAACGTCTTGAGCGTCATCTGCGTGCCCGGCTCTCCGATGCTCTGAGCGGCCAGCGCGCCCACGGCCGTGCCTAGCCGCAGATGGAGCCGTCAGAGGCGACCCACGCACGCACCGTGCCGACGGCGCTCACCAGGGGAACGGCCAGCACGGCAAGGAATGGATAATTTCTGCATATAAAATCAAACATCCCTCAAGCACAGTGACAGCTCCGGAGAACAAATTGAGGCATACAAAAGCAACGGCAAGTGCTATCTAAAGCGCATATATGTATATATAAAGCTGTCAATTTGAGAAGAATTTGACAAGTATACTTCTCATATCCTTGTCAAGATATGCGTCACTCCTTAAACACGAAATGCTTACCTAACGACAGAGCAAACACTCGTCACAGTCACAGGAGCAGGCCAAGCGGAGGGCACGAAACAATCGTGCAGCAACCAGTAACGTAACGGACCAATGTTTAAAGAACAGCGCCCCCACAGTCGTGCGCGAAAGTCACGTGCATTGCTGGAATGGGTTTGGATAAACTGAAGCCCGCGGCTCTCCACGCCTCTCCCATCGCGCGAGCGGAGGCGGTACCTGGCTCGATGCGAGCGCGCAGGTATTTGTCGCGGCAGATCTCGCAGAACTCCACCAGCTGGGAGACGGTGAGGCGGTGGAGCCGCGCCAGCACGCCCCCGCCGGGCGGCGCGCCGGCCGCCTCCAGCGGGTACGCGCGCCGGGTCTGGGCCACGGCGCGCGCCTGGGACTCCACAAACGACCTGGCGCGGACGAAGGGGCGGGTCAGGCGGGGCGGGGGAGGGGGGGGGGGGGGTCAGACGGCAGGTCAAGGGGAGGCCGTCAGGGTCAGATGTCAGGATTAGTTCAGAGGAGGGTCAGACGGCGGGGCGGGGTCAAAGGAGGGTCAGAAGTCACGGGACCTCAGACGTCAAGATCTTTGGGGGGGAGGGGGGGAGGGGGAGGAACGTCGAAACTCAGAGAAACACCAGAGCTTACAGGAGGCTCAGAGGTCGAGGGAACCTCGCCCGCAGCGGACACTCAGCAGACCCTCGAGCACAAAACAAGAGAACATCAAAGCACATCAAAGCTTCAGAACACATAAGAACGTTACAGGTCGGGTGAGCGCCAGAGTTCCAACAGCCACTCCGTACACGCCGACACAGACCCCGCCCACGGCACAGCATCCAGCGCCAGCCCCGCCCACCAACCAGCCAGTGAAACCCACCCACCCACACCCGGTACAGCATCGTCACACCGGACGCGAAGAGTGACACAGCTTCCGTCGCGCCTACATAACACAGCAGCACCCAATGCGTTTGCAGCCCTCTTCGACTTTCTGGGAGGAATTGACTAACTGGTGCAGCAGAGCGTCGCTTCCAGACACCCTGCAACTATTCGATCTCTGCGAGGACTGGTGCAGGGTCAGTCCTAGTCCTAATGGACTGTGACTGTGACTGCGACTGTGACTGTGACTGTGACTGTGACTGCGACTGCGACTGTGACTGTGACAGAGACTGGGACTAAGACTGGCTCTGACTCTAGCTCAGTCCCAGTCCTAGCCCAGCTGGACTGTGACTGTGACTGTGACTGGCGCATTAACCAGTCCTAGCCCTGCTTGACTGTGACCGTCACTGTGACTGATTGGCACAGAGCCCGTCCTAACCCAGCTGCGACTGTGACTGTGACTGGCGCAGTCCCAGCACCCCCACCGGACGCCGTACCGCAGCTCGTCGATGAAGCTCTGCTGGCAGGCCCGGTACTCCTTCATCTGCACGATCTCCGACACGGCCTCCAGCACGCTGTCGGCGTCCAGCGGCTCCTCGTCCGCGCACGGGGACTTGGCGCGCACGTGGTTCAGGATGCGCTCGAAGTCTACCGGCTTGTCCTTGCCTGCCGGCGCGTCGTCCGCCGGTCACGGCAGGGCGGGCCTTACACCAAGGGGGGGGGGGGGGTGTTGCCTACGTCCAGACGTCGTCACCAATGTGCCCCAAAACCAATGTGCCCTGAACTCTCAAATCAACTTGTCCACCATATAAGAGCTTACGAGGGATCCACACCCCGTCCAGCCGGCCCACGCCACGGGCGGTACGCACCACGGCGCGGCGATCCGCACGAGTAAACAATACATGCCGGACAATTCAGCACACAAACAAGGACAATGGGGTTGGTGAGCCGTGAGGCACCAGGACAGCTGGCCCACCCTCCATGCAGGCGGGGTCCAGGCCGTCGCCGCCGTAGCAGAACTGGACCATGTTGCCCACGGAGTCCCGCACGCTGATGTCGTACTGGGAGCACAGATCCTCCAGACACTGCAACAACAGAGCACAGGTCCTCCAGACACTGCAACAACAGAGCACAGGTCCTCCAGACACTGCAACAACAGAGTACAGGTCCTCCAGACACTGCAACAACAGAGCACAGGTCATCCAGACACTGCAACAACAGAGCAAAGGCCCTCCAGACACCAAAACAAAAGAGCACAAGTCCTCCAGATAAAGCAACACCAGGGCACAGGTACTCAAGACACTGCAACAATACAGCACAGGTCCTCCAGACACTGCGATGACAGAGCACAGGTCCTGCAACAGAGCACAGGTCCTCCAGACACTGCGATGACAGAGCACAGGTCCTCCAGACACTGCAACAACAGAGCACAGGTCCTCCAGACACTGCAACAACACAGAACAGGTCCTCCAGACACCGCAACAACAATGCACCGGTACCGCAGTGCCACCATAATACGAGCACAACTTCTGAAACTCCGCGGCGGAGCATAGTCCGAGACCTCAGACAGCAGCTGTAACTGGGACTCGGCCATCAAAATGGCCCCGTTATCCCTCGCCCTGACCTTCCTCTGACCTTGAAGAGGCACCTTGACATGCAACTGACGTCCATGACCCCAGCCATGACCTAGCACTGACCTTGACCAGACGTCGCTGCATGTAGCCGGTCTCGGCCGTCTTCACGGCCGTGTCGACCAGGCCCTCACGGCCGCCCATCGTGTGGAACATGAACTCGGTGGGCGTCAGGCCCGAGTAGAAGCTATTGCCGACGAAGCCCTTGGCATCCGGCACCTTGGCTGGGGACGGCAGGCCCCGCGGTCAGTGACGGGCCCCGCGGTCAGTGACGGGTCCCGCGGTCAGTGACGGGCCCCGCGGTCAGTGACGGGCCCTGCGGTCAGTGACGGGCCCCGCGGTCAGTGACGGGCCCTGCGGTCAGTGACGGGCCCTGCGGTCAGTGACGGGCCCTGCGGTCAGTGACGGCCCCCGCGGTCAGTGACGGGCCCCGCGGTCAGCGACGGGCCCTGCGGTCAGTGACGGGCCCCGCGGTCAGTGACGGGCCCTGCGGTCAGTGACGGGCCCCGCGGTCAGTGACGGGCCCTGCGGTCAGTGACGAGTGACGGGCCCTGCGGTCAGTGACGGCCGGCAGCCAGTGACGGACCCTGCGGTCAGCGACGGGTCCCACAGTCAGTGACGGGTCCCGCAGTCAGTGGCGGGCCCTGCGGCCAGTGACGGGCCCTGCGGTCAGTGACGGGTCCTGCGCTCAGTGACGGCCGGCAGTGGGGGCGGTACGACGGCGGGGGGGGGGGGGGGGGGCAGGGGCAATCTTGAACTTAACGTTGTGCATGAGCAAAGCTGTGTGAGAAGATGATGCCTAGAATGCCTCTATCACGCCAATCAAGCGCCAATCCGTCAATCCACTCTATCAATCGATCAATCAAGCGTCAACCGTATTCGAATCATTGCCTGTTAGTAGCGCCCGTGACCGTAGCTGCGAAAAGTGGACAAAGTGCCATCAGATTTATGTTAACAATGTCTTTGATTTACAATGCAAGGGTTTTAGTGGGGATGGTGATGACCAACGGCCAACAAAACGACCGGATGAATAAATACAAAATGAAATACAAAAGCAGGGAATCAGTGCTTCCCACACTACTACCGGCCGACCCTGCAGCCTCCTAACGTGGGGAGTCAGTGCCTCCCACCAATCAGCCGACCCTAGAGCCTCCCAACGTGGGGAGTCAGTGCCTCCCACCAATCAGCCGACCCTACAGCCTCCGAACGTGTGGAGTCAGTGCCTCCCAGACCACAATCAGCCGACTCCACAGCCTCCTGAAGCGAGCCAGCGGCACCTCCTACACGCGGACGCCCGGTAGCCGCGGGGCCGCTCGAGGTCCACCGCCGGCGGCCGCCGCGCCGGCCGGCCCGTCCGCTCACAGTGTCTCTCGAAGTGGGGCAGCGCCCGGTCTTCGAAGCCGTTCGGCACGCGCTTGCCGCTGATGGCCTGCTGGCCCACACAGGCGATCATCTGCGAGATGTTGATGAAGGAGCCTGGAGGCAGCCAACGGCGGCGTCAGCACACACACCAACACACGCGAGATGTTGATGAAGGAGCCTGGCGGCGGCCAACGGCGGCGTCAGCACACACACCACACACGAGATGTTGATGAAGGACTGGCGGCGCCAACAGCGGCGTCAGCACACACACCAACACACGCGAGATGTTGATGAAGGAGCCTGGCGGCGGCCAACGGCGGCGTCAGCACACACACCAACACACGCGAGATGTTGATGAAGGAGCCTGGCGGCGGCCAACAGCGGTGTCAGCACACACACCAACACACGCATGCACTCGGCGGCGCTGAGTGGAACAACAATTATTATCGGCAAAATGGCATCATTTCGTGTGGTGACTTGTCATAATTCCCACTTCAATGGAATTCAATGTAACAGTGCTAAATGGTCATGATGTCAATGCCTTGCATGCATCCACCACGAATATCGTCCACGTAACGCCCCTCTCCGGAATCTCAGCACATAACCACCTAATGCTTGAGGCCTTGTAGCAGTTTACCCGAACAAGACTATCTGGAAGCCTATGCCATCCCTTGTACTTCCATTAGACACCGTCCCACCTCCCCCGGCCTTGAAACTACAAAATTCAGCCAGCGGCCGTTCAAGCCGCCCAGACTCGCCGTTCCGCTCAGAGTCATCACACGTGACTACCACAGTCCCTGCCGTCGCTGCAGCCCGGCAAAACCCAAGCAAAAGTCCCCCCGGCGGGAATCGAACCCGGACCCCTCGACCCGCAGCCCCGTCCGCGGCAGCGCGCACCTTTGGAGCCGCACAGCGCCATGATGAGCGGCGCGTTCGACTTGTGCAGCTCGCGCAGACAGGCCTTGCCGGCGTGGTCGCGGATGACCGACAGCTCCTTCAGGATGACGGCCTCGAGCGTCTCCTCCTCCGTGCAGCCGGGCTGACACTGCAGCCGGCCGCCCTCCAGCTGCCGGATGTAGTCGTCGCACTTGCGGTACCTGCGCAGAGGAGGCGCCTCAGCCACGTCCGGCACGCGCAGTTCGTCGGCATGTTCGTTCGGTTCGGCGGTCGGAGCCGCTGGATCAGTATAAAATGTCGTGTGTTGTCCTATTCCTGCCCTCCTACTCGGGTCATATGGTACGTGGGCGATGTTATGTTTCAGGTGATAATGGTTATATAGTTGGGCAATGTTATGTTACGCCGCTAATGGTTCCAACTGCCCAGGACTGGACGCGGGGCAGGCGGTCGTTCATGTCCTGCCTTTTTCGTGCTGGTTGTGCCACCGAGGACAGCAAATATCTACAACAAGGAGCGGACACAGCGTATTACGTCCGCTACCACTCCGCACAGACGAGCGTACAAGTGACGAAACGCTCGCGTCAAAAGCAAACAGAATACTTAGCTCCGTATGCAAAAGTAAATATTGCGATTCTCCGCTCATAAATTGTGCGATACGACCATGGGCCGAACAAGAACTACCCCAGCCGCAGTGACCAACCAGAGGCCATCCACGCGACAAGTCGACCAATCCGGAGCCATCCACGCGACAAATTAACCAATCCGGAGTTACATGTGCCACACAGCCACCAATCAGACACCATCCAAAAGGCATGATGGCCAGTGACCATACGGGAACCACCCTGCAGACACAGAGGCGGCATCTGCACGTGCATCAGCGACCAATCGAGACACACGCCTCCCCGCGCCCAACCACAGACCAACCGAGGGCCCAGGTATCACGCCGGCCAATCACACGCCTTCCACGGAACACGGCGACCAATCAGGAGTCAGGAGTAAGGATACGCACCCTTCGTTGAGCAGCAGCTGCTTGGCCTTGAGCAGGCCCGTGCCGGGCGTGACGTCACCAATGCCGATGCTGAAGCCGCGGTTCATCAGGAAGTAGGACGTGATCCTGCGACAGACGCGCGTGAGCGTGAGCGGCAGCAGGACCCGTACCGAACAGGAGCGCACATGTCAGTGACAGAACACACACTGTCCGTCATATTTCAGCGACAATGGGATCCATGCCAGTGAAGGACTCTGACCAGTGACCGGACTCTGACCAGTGACAACACCCTGACTCGCAGCCACTCTATGATCGGTGACCGGCCCCTGACCAGTGACTGGACTGTAGTCAGCCGGCTGGGGCTCCTGCCGTCACCTGGACACCCTCCACATGCAGTCGGCGGCGATCTCCGAGCCGTAGTCGCGGTACAGCACGTAGAAGATGTTGTTCTTGGAGCCGCTGCCCAGCACAGACTTGTCCAGCGCCCCGGCAAGGTGCTCTGAGTTCCAGATCACGATGTCTGTCGGCCAGGACAGCACCGTCGGTGTCTTGTGCACCGTCAACGGCATGGATATTGCCACCGTCAGCGTCATCATCACCGTTATCACTGTCATCACCAGGATAATTTACAACATGTACACTCCAAGGACATTACACGCAATCGCCATCACTATCAGCATCGTGACACTGTTTAGCAAGAACGCCTTCCTGTCCGTGTCGTGTCAAATGTCGGTGACGTCAGGGTGCCACCGCGTCAGTGCCGAGACAATAATAGAAGACAACATACTGGGTCAGCTGGCCGGCCATGTCACTTGTCACAGTGTCAGTGTCAGTGAGCGTCAGTGTCAGTGGGTGTCAGTATTAGTGAGTGTCAGTATCAGTGTCAGTATCAGTGAGTGTCAGCAACAGCGAGTGTCAGTATCAGTGAAGTGTCAGTGTCAGTATCAGCGAGCGTCAGCATCGGTTAAATATCAGTGTCAGTATCAGTGTCAGTACCAGCGTCGGTAAGTGTCAGTGTCAGTCAGTGCTAGTGCCAACCAGTGCCACCAGAACAATCGCGTCGTCCGTCTCGTCTCTCGTCGCGCCGCCGTCTCACGCACAGGAGTCGTTGATGCAGAGCTCCTCGTCGGCGGTGTAGGCCTTGCCCTTGGTGCGCAGGTTGGCCTTGACCGGGCACGCGCTGTTGGGCCGCAGCAGCAGGCCGAACAGCTGTTTGCCCGTCCACAGCTGGACCGGCTGCCGGCAGCGGTCATCGGGCGGCGATCAGGAGACGCCGGTTCGAACCCCGGAAAAGCCAAAACTTTGAAACGCGCGGGGCAACGACTTTCGACGATGCGGTGGTTCTACCCACCCTCTACCACACCACACTACGCTCACACGCACGCGCGCATATTTCAGCATTCAAAATTTTGCATCCTTCCAGTGAACATTCTATCATCTACACAAATATATTTGTATCGTACAAATTGAACCTATATGACAGCGACAACAACCAACAAGCAGCAAACGTCGAACAGCGAGCGCAACCGACCTTGAGAATGGCCGGCGGCGGCAGCTGGAACCAGACGCTGCGGTCCTTGCCTTCCAGGATGGTGGCCAGCATCTGGCAAGCCTACGGGCACGCCGAGGTCGGGGCCCCTGAGCGTCGAGTGGAGTACATACTTGCGAGGCAGCGGGCGGGAGGGGAGGCCGTCCCGAGGTCGGGGTTAGTAGGTCGAGGAGGGGAGGCAGGGCTGAGGTCGGGATTACGAGGCCGGGGAGGGGAGGTTGGGCCGAGCTCGGGGTTACGAGGTCGGGGAGGGGAGGTAGGGCCGAGGTCGGGGTTACGAGGTCGGGGAGGGGAGGTAGGGCCGAGGTCGGGGTTAGGAGGTGGGGAGGGGGGGGGGGGGTACGGCCGAGGTCGGGGTTAGGAGGTCGGGGAGGGGACGTAGGGCCGGGGTCGGGGTTAGGAGGTCGGGGAGGAGAGGTAGGGTCGAGGTCTGGGTTACGAGGTCGGGGAAGGGAGGTAGGGCCGAGGTTGGGGTTAGGAGGTCAGGGAGGGGAGGTAGGGCCGAGGTCGGGGTTACCAGGTCGGGGAGGGCAGGCAGGGCCGAGGTCGGGGTTAGGAGGTCGGGGAGGGGAGGTAGGGGCCGTGGTCGGGGTTGGGAGGTCGGGGAGGGGAGGTAGGGCCGAGATCGGGGTTGGGAGGTCGGGGAGGGGAAGAAGGGCTGATGTCGGGGTTAGGAGGTCGGGGAGGGGAGGTAGGGCCGAGGTCGGGGTTAGGAGGTCGGGGAGGGGAGGTAGGGCCGAGGTCGGGGTCAGGAGGTCAGGGAGGGGAGGTAGGGCCGAGGTCGGAGTTACGAGGTCGGGGAGGGGAGGTGGGGCCGAGGTCGGGGTTAGGTCGGAAAGGGGAGGTAGGGCCGAGGTCGGGGTTAGGAGGTCGGGAAGGGGAGGTAGGGCCGAGGTCGGGGTCACGAGGTCGGGGAGGGGAGATCGTGCCGATGTCGGGATTAGGAAGTCGGGGAGGGGAGGTAGGGCCGACGTCGGGGTTAGGAGGCCGGGTAGGGCCGAGGTCGGGGTTAAGAGGTCGGGGAGGGGAGGTAGGACCGAGGTCGGGGTTACGAGGTCGGGGAGGGGAGGTAGGGCCGAGGTCGGGGTCACCGAGCTGTACTGAGTACGGACCTGGGAGAGAGCAAGCGGGAGGGGAGGCAGGGTAAGAGTCTGGAGGTGGGCAGACGGAGGTGTGAGAAGGGAAGGCAAATACGGAGAGGAAGAAAAGGGACGAGTGAGAGCGGAGAGGACTGGGCGAAGACAGACGAGGGAAGAGAACAGTACAGGGACACACAAACTACCAGACGAAACATCGACAAAGGTCGTTTAGCAAACATAAAAGACCGCAAGTCGGAAGTGCAACACATCCACAGCGCGGGTGCCACCACGCGTCAACAATAGCAAGACAAATCCTGCCCTCCCGCCCGCTTCCTCTTCCGAGACCCATCAACATCGCCCCCGCCCCCCACGCAGGCTTGTGCTGCCTCCGAGTCACTCCCATGCCGCCCCATCGGCCACGCGTATTTCCGGCGCGCGGCGGCGGCGGGGGCGCCTCTGACCAACCTTGCTGCGGTCGAAGAACTGGTCCTTCTGCGTGATGAGGTAGGCGCCCGTCAGGAAGTCCTGCGTGGCGCCGATCATCAGCTCTCCGTTACGTGGCGTCACCAGGTTGTTCTTGACCTGACGTCAGCGGTGGCCAGCGTCACACCGCGTCACGTCGCCGCCGAGTGTGACGTCGAGTGTGCGTCACGTCAGGCCGAGTGTGACGCGTCACGCTCAGCGCGTCGCCGCCACTGCCGGCTCGGGTTCCGAGGGGCTTTACGCTCCCGGTGCATCATCAGCAGCAAGCGATCGCCGCCGGCCTACAGCAAGCGCAAGCGAGATCCTCGTCCGACGGACGTAACTGACCCATTTCGAACATTCTGTGCTGCAATCCGTCCACTCCTCAAGGTCCCGCCGGTAACAGACTTGTTTTTGACTGCCTAACGTGTGCAGCAGCTTACACCCACGCGTCACATCCCGTCACACCCACGCTTACACCCACCCGTCACACCCGTCACATCAGCCTACCAGCACGTTCGTCCGGCCTGGGCAGTGGGGCGAGGCACACCAGTGACGTCACAGTCTGACGTTTGACGCGGCCCGTCGACACAACGTGACGTCAGAGCTGGCGTACATCAGCACGTGACGTCGGCGACGTCCCGCCAGCGCGCCGACATCACATCTGACGCTCCTGCACGCGGTCGGTGGCCCCTCACGACCCACCACACGAGCGGCGCTCCCTCCGATTCAGATCCGGTGACGTTCGCTCCAAACCCGCGACCAACTTCGCGCTTGAGACCCACAGCGCGCCACATGCAGTCCCACTCAACACAAGCGCCGAGACCGGCGCGCGCGACACGGCACACTTCCCCGGCGGACACCCCGCGCCCCGCCGACCGGGCGTACCCCCATGAGAACGGTGGCCTCGGCCTTGGCCTCCTCGGTCTGCGGCAGGTGGAGGTTCATCTCATCGCCGTCGAAGTCGGCGTTGTAGGGCGCGCAGACGCACTCGTTGAACCTGGCGACCAGACGTCCGTGGTCTGTTAAACCCCCCTTTGGCGTCCGTGGTCCTGTTCAACCCCCTCCTGGGCGTCCGTGGTCTGTTAACCACCCCCCCCCCTCTGGCGTCCGTGGTCTGTTTAAACCCCCTCTGGCGTCCGTGGTCCGTTAAACCCCCTCTGGCGTCCGTGGTCTGTTAACACTCCCCTCTGGCGTCCGTGGTCTGTTAAACCCCCTCTGGCTTCTGTGGTATGTTAAAAACCCCCTCTGGCGTCCGTGGTCTGTTAAACCCTCTCTGACGTCCGTGGTCTGTTAAACCCCCTTCTGGCGTCCGTGGTCTGTTAAGACCCTCTCTGACGGTCCGTGGTCTGTTCAAACCCCCCTCCGGCGTTCGTGGTCTATTAAACTCCCCTCTGGCGTCCGTGGTCTGTTAACCCCCCTCTGGCGTCCGTGGTCTGTTAAACCCCCTCTGGCGTCCGTGGTCTGTTAAACCCCCCTCTGGCGTCCGTGGTCTGTTAAACCCCCTCTGGCGTCCGTGGTCTGTTAAACCCCCTCTGGCGTCCGTGGTCTGTTAAACCCCCTCTGGCGTCCGTGATCTGTTACACCCCCTCTGCTGGGTCCGTGGTCTATTCAACCCCCCTCTGGCGTCCGTGGTCTGTTAAACCTCCCTCTGGCGTCCGTGGTCCGTTAAACCCTCCTCTGCTGGGTGCGTGGTCTGTTAAACCCCCCTCTGGCGTCCGAGGTCTGTTAACCCAGCCCCTCTGGAGTCCGTGGTCTGTTAAACCCCCCTCTGCTGGGTGCGTGCTGGGCTCGCGTGCATGAAATCCACTCCAAAGGGGCGTCATAAAGGGGTGTTTTGTTCACCTGTGGACACACGTTGCCGCAAGAAAGGCGTATCGAACGGTGGGTAATGGAACAACGCCGCTCGGAAGGTGACCGAGGCACCGCTCGGACGGAGCCAAGTAGCAGTAAAAAGACGTACACGCAGACTAACGATAACGTGCATTCAAATAAGCGATTTTTCGCTCTAGCGTGAGAGACGGCTTGCCAGCATGGTTTGGTACGTCTACGACATGAACACTGACCTTTCAAAAAGGCTAAGAGTTTTTGCGCAATAAACATCAGTAGTCCTACACCCCGCGGCCCGCGGTGCCCGCCCTTCCTGCCAGGGTGAGAGGCAGGCGACGCCTCATAGCCCTAGGAGCTGCGTGCGTCGTAAAGCCCCAGTGATAACGACCACGGCAATGTACAGTACAGTTCGGAGGTCCAATAAATTAAATAATATAATTTGGAGGCACAATATAAACAAAACAGAATGCAATGCACGCTGCAATGGCAGCGAACCTCCAATGCATTCGCACCCATCCCACGGGTGCGAATGGTGTTCATCAGGGTGTTCCAATGCATTCGCAGGCGCCCATTCCCGCACCACAATAAAGCGGTGACGCACAAGCGATGCTTAAACCAGCACCGGCTGAAGGAAGATGCCGGGCGAGCGCACAGCCTCGAGAGGCATGAACGCAGGGGCCGCATGAGGCTGACGGAGTAGGAGTCACCGAGTCAGAGTCACAGAGTCAGTCGGAGGCCGGGCGCTCACCTGAAGGTCCTGTGCGGCAGGACCTTGGCCTGGTGGCTCATGATCGACAGCTTGTGCAGCGACGGCTGCCGGTTGAACAGCACCACGTCGCCGTCCAGCAGGTGCCGCTCCACGGTGTCACCCGGCTGAGGGCGACGGGGACGCCGGTTCGAGACTCGCCGACGGCGGAACTTTTTAAAATCGCGTCGGCGCATCAGGCGACGCCTGAGCAACTCAGCTGACCCGGCGGTGGCCATCGTCACTACAGGTGATTGGCACGCATGTGGCGTGCCAGACCTGGGTGACCTGCGCGCCCCGGTGACGCGTGAAACGCCTCAGGCTGGCAAGTGACCCCGGTCTGGCCAGCGAGAAGGGGTGGTATCAAGCTGACTGCCGGGCACGTTCCTTCCGTACAAATCCTTCAAAGATTGGGTAAAATTATCTGTGGGAAAGAGCACGTTTACACAGATATCGAAAGGAGTCGCTCGCACCAAATTCACTCCGAAAAGATGCTCGTCTTAATTGGGTGGTTCTAGCCTCGCCCATAAGCTTTGGTTGGGATGGTCTCTGGTTTGATTTAAACGCCATAACCAGAAAGCATCCAATGAAATGGGTTACAAACACGTACCCAGTATCGCACGATCCTCCAGTCCCGCCTCACGGGTGACCACAGGCACGAAACACACGAAGCGCAGAGGCACCTACAGTCGCACCCCAACCCACCCACGCTAACCTTCGTCAGACCCCTGCCCCTCCCCGCCGAACACGCCCGTCTAAGGCACAGCCGAACACACCCCCGACCCAACTCACGCGGAGCTCCTGCGCGATCCGCTGGCGGTTGCCGAACTTGAGGAACTTCTTGAGGCCCGTGCCGCGCTGCTCGACGAAGTTGGCCCCTGCGCGAGGTCACAGGGGTCACTGTGGGTCCGGGTCACCGCCAGGCGTAGCAGAAGCGCCGGGAGGATCCGAACACGACCTCGTAAGCCCCGACTGACGGCAATTCGGAAGGCAACGGGGCGGACGGGCCTGGGGCGGTAATCCAACTTCATCCGGAAGTCAGCAGACAAACCTTCTGAGATCAATTGAATCTGTCGCCTTGTCGCCACGCCCAATCGAGATAACGCAACGCCCAATCGAGACAAACATTTTCTATCCACAACTGACAGAGAGCGTGCGAGACATTTCAGAATCTGATGCAAGCTGGCTATTGACCCCCTATGGTGGAAGGCTACTTGGGCTCGCGTAGAAAAATAGCACCCGCTTGCCTCGCCAGTGGCAGTCAGCTGGTGGCGGGTTAACAACGGACCAGGCTACCACGGGACAACCATGGCAGCCTCGTCCGTTCCTGATCCCGTGGCGCTATGTTATAGCATGGCCCGGTGGAGATCCCTGTCTATCATCCGGCGACAGGACCAAAGAGACAAGAGCTCCAGTTGAAACGGAATCACTCCACCGTTGTGGAGGGGTCTAGGTCTTCGCAACAAGGTCCGCTTACAAAAAAACCGATCCCACCTCAAATTCATCCCCGCAAAACTGCGTAAAACGGCGTACAGCAACGTAAAGCTACGCGACGAGGGTCTGCTCAGACCGAATCATCAGACAGCCGGATCAGATGGATCGTCAGGGGGAGGGGGCAGGGGGAGTGGGCAGGGGCAGGTGGCAGGGGAGCAGGGGAGCAGGGGACAGGGCCACACCTGGGTGCGTGTCCGCCCCGTTGACCACCAGCGTCCGCAGCAGCTCCAGGTTGTGCTGGGTGACCCGCTCCGGGAAGGTCAGCACCTTGGCCACGTGCACCGGCACGCCCACCTGCGCGGCCACGCCCCATGTCACGTGTCAAGCGCCACACTCCCGGCAGTGGTCAGCCATGCCGGCGCCGCGCAGACAAGGCGCGCCAAACCGAAGGCGCGCCAAACGGAAGTGCGCGCGCCAAACGGAGGCGCACGCGAAACTCAGACACGGAGAACAGAGCTACAGCGAACGTCAGACGGCGTATGGAGACGGTTACACTGGATAGCAGAGGAGGAGGGAGATGCATTTAACGGCGACACCGGACAACAGGGTGTCCTGGTGAGTACTAGACACAGAACGCTGGTCCGAGACCCCTGAGACGTGATATACGCAGGGCTTTCAGAGGGTTAGTTTTCACGTATTATGAGCTTAGACATTTTGCTCTAGCAGTTATGGACCTTCAATATACCAAAAGGTGCTGGTACAACCACGTTATGGTTATCAATGGGTATCGACAAAGCGGTGACAATGTAACCAATGTTCAGTTAGTCAAATGTAACATAACTGCTCACACCACAAGAGTACCTACAACATAACCAAGTTTGCTTGATGACGTCGTCTGACCACTATCTCCTGGCCCACTAAAAGTCGCTAACTGTCAGCGCACGAGCTCTGAACTCACAACACCTGGAACATCCAACATCAGAGAGCTCTCCACGATCCGCCAGCTGCGGCCGCAGACGAAACAGCTGACCCGAGCGGCGGCCAATCAGAGAGCGGGCCCTCGCCGGCACCGTCCGCGTCCGCCCGCGTCCCACACGCCGCCGGCGCACCCCAGCGAAATCACCACTACACCAGTTTACGAGGCACGTGCTAAACTCCAGGCGCGAAGACGCTCCAAGCGCGGTTGACAGGGCACCTGGTATATGGCCGCTAGGCGGCAGGTACTACGTGGGTTAGAGCAGCAGACGCCGTGCTTGTAGCCCCGGCCTGGGGAGTCAGGCTGGGATGAAGCGATCGTGTCACAGTTTTGACATATTTCCACAAAAATTATGTCTGATCAGCTATAACGACCTGCCGCGACAGCGACGTAAAGGATTTTCGCGGCAACTTTTGGTTCGCACGAAATCTTCCCAAAACCATTCCGCACAGCCTTTTGCAAAATGCCTACAAAATTAACTGTCACCGTCAAAAGCTTCTACCACAATGAGTAAAATCCTGACGGAAAACAAATAAAACATCGCTGACCAGACTCGAACGCACCACCTCCCGATAACCAGCCAGACAGCCCATTGGCTAGCCTCCGGCCGCTCCCACCTGATGAATGCGCAGGTTCGGGTCGGGCGAGATCACAGTGCGGCTGCTGAAGTCCACGCGCTTGCCGCTGAGGTTGCCACGGAAACGACCTTGCTTGCCCTTGAGCCGCTGCACCAGCCCTCGCGTGGGTTTCTTGGGCTGCGGGAGCAGGGGATCGTGGCTACAGAGATTGCTGGCGACGAGGGAACGCCCCTTTTCGCCGAGGAGGGGATTGCCCAAATTGCATCATATCGCGTTACACGCATGCGTCGAACAGGGCGCAACGGCGACACATTATCAGCAGCATAGTTAGTACGCGTACCATGCATGCGTCGAACAGGGCGCAACAGCGACACATTATCAACAGCATGGTTAATACGCGTACCATGCATGCGTCGAACAGGGCGCAACGGCGACACACTATCAGCAGCATGGTTAATACGCGTACCATGCATGCGTCGAACAGGGCGCAACGGCGACACACTATCAGCAGCATGGTTAATACGCGTACCATGCATGCGTCGAACAGGGCGCAACGGCGACACACTATCAGCAGCATGGTTAATACGCGTACCATGCATGCGTCGAACAGGGCGCAACGGCGACACACTATCAGCAGCATGGTTAATACGCGTACCATGCATGCATACCAGGCGGATGAACATGACTGCGGAAGGAAAACATGCTGGACATCAGCTGGTCACCCAGAACCTGACCTCAGCGCGCCAGACTATTCCCTTCAACATGAACGGCGGCCACTGATGCGGACAGGCTCACACGAAACTTACAGGGAGGTTTCACATTTGTATGGGGCTTGATCCGAAATAGACATTTTGAAGATCATTTGGTGTAGTCCACAGCCGTGCCCTTCTAAAACCTAAAATCCTTTAGCTTTCGAGCTAAACGCCAGCTAAAACGTGCAGATTATTTCGTGCAGACTATTTCAAGGCCATTCGTGCATGCATGGCGTCACAGCAACGTAGTTCAAATTCTGCCCTGCACAGGCCATGCGGCGCTCAAGGCCAGGAAAATAACTTTCGTTAAACCGGTCAGATCTGATATCCGTGAGCACGATTTCTAAATACAGTGGACCTAAATCGGCTCTCAATCTACGTTGAGCAGGCTGCGGAAATTTCGATCATGATTTGGTTTGTTTGGATTAGAGCCCTTTCGCCCGGGTATGATCATTTCGGGGCTATAGCATGAAGGAGAATGGATACCGGCGGGACAGGACTGCATGCGCCTGGGGGGGGGGGGGGGGGGGGGGCATGTAGTAGGCGCACACCTCCCCCCCCCCCCCCCCACCTCACCCCACACCAGCCCGCTCTTAGACTGGCCACGCTACCGCCCGCTCAACGACAGCCATGCGCGTGCAGCAGCTGCTGGGCGTGCAAGCGGCCCGCATACGCACGCTGCGCGACCGGGCATACAGTCACCCCAATCATCCGCGCGCCGCGCGACCGGGCATACAGTCACCCTAATCATCCGCGCGCCGTACGACCGGGCATACAGTCACCCCGATCATCCGCACGCCGCGCGACCGGGCATACAGTCACCCCGATCATCCGCACGCCGCGCGACCGGGCATACAGTCACCCCAATCATCCGCACGCCGCGCGACCGGGCATACAGTCACCCTAATCATCCGGCGCGCCGTACGACAGGGCATACAGTCAGCCCCGATCATCCGCACGGCCGCGCGACCGGGCATACAGTCACCCGATCATCCGCACCGCCGGCGCAGACCGGGCCATAGCAGTCACCCCCAATCATCCGCGCCGCCGCACCACCGGACATACAGTCAC